AAAGACAGTGCAGGTTTTATAATAACGTAGGTAAATATACCTGTATACGTAGTCGAGCATATAATATACACATTAACACGATTTCCCGGGGAAAACTAGGCGAACCGAGTGTATATAGGTTTTGCGCGGGCCCGGTACCCGGTCATGGGCCAAACGAAACGAAAAAAGGATAATAATAAAAAAAAAAAAAACAAAACAAAAAAAAAAACTTATATTTACGTACCCAATATTGTGAAGTCACGATGATATTATGATCTTACTCGGCGATGTCGCCGTATATTATTATTATGAATATTATACAGGTAGGCGCACGTCGGTCCTTATAAGATTAGGCACGTCGTATTCGTTGTCGGCGGAGGATGTTACGACGTCCGCATGCCGTGCACAACAACAATAACAACGATAATGTTATTGTGATGATACCAGCAAGTTTCGAGTTTCGGTTTTTTAATCGACGATCGGCTGAAGCACCGGGAAAAGTTCGCCGGTTTTGTCGACACGGCGCGCACTACACTTTTGCGCACTTCAACACTTTGCGCGAACCGACGTTTGGCGAACGAGACGTATATGCGAATAGAAAATAAAAAAAAACTATATATATATATATACGAATTATAACATAATTTCGCTGTTTCAAAACGAATCGATCGCGGATTAATACCTAAACATAGGTAAGTATTTATTATTATTATTATAACGACGGCGTGCGAATGGTGTTTACACCTGATGTGTGTGTGTGTGTGTGTGTGTATAGGAGATGATGCGTGTTTGTGGAAAAAAAAACAAAAATCGTTTTTTTATAAAAAAAAAAAAACCGACACGAGTTTAGTGCAGCTGCTGCGCGGTGTGTCTTGGTCGGCAAACCGTTCGCGGCATAATGAAACGACTACGCGCGCGACTACCGAACAACGTCGACGGCGATGGACACGTCGGACGCGGTTCCCGACAACAGTGCGCCGCGCGCGCCGCCGCCACCACGAGAACGGTTACCGGGCTGACCGGCCCCGCAGAGACTCGCTTCTCGCCGCTTGTAACGCACCGTAACCGCACGGTATATCGACACAAACATGATTTTTTTTTTTTTTTTTTAATTTTGTAATTTGAATCCGACGTCCATTAAATATATCGATAGTCGCACGACAACGACGACGGTAATATTATTCAGCATAACTGTTTGTTTATATATTTATGTTAAATATGGGGGCAGTGGCGTATTCGATGGCGAAGATCGGGGTAGATATTCGTCTCCCCGCCCACCATCCCTCTCGATGGTTTTTCAGTGTGCGATGTTTGTTTACTTTTTAGCCGGGAAAATCGAAAATAACGCGTCGGTGTCGCTATAGCCTAGATAATATTATATCAAAAAAAAAAAAAAAACGAAACGAAACATAAACGTATACATTTTCTTGTTTTAAACGAAACCTATCTACGAAGAAGGTAATGTTGATCTCGTGTTATCGTTCATTACTACAGTTCTATTAAACACGGTTGGACCGTTTCGTTTTTTCAATTCGAAGTCTTGAAACCCGTACATCATCGCTGACTCCACAATGATGGTTTTATGCGAATTTCCCTTTTATCACACAACACTTCGGTCGATTCTCTCCATCGCCTCATCTAGTCACACCTATATAGTTCTATTAGACACATTGCCATGCAGAATTCCTCTATTCACTTGCGTCACTAAATCAAAATACTCGATTTAATATAAAATGATGTCCTATCCTTACTTTTGCTTCTGAATCGGTCAATTTTACGAGAGATAAAACCTACAATATTATTATTATCACCAGTCAATAAAATATACTTAACGTACATACGTGCATGGAGGATAAAAAAGAGTTTTAGCTATCATTACAATATCCCGCCACTTTTATCTGCCATTGCGCTTAGATGTTCTGTCACTCCATCAATCCACAACTTTCCGGGGCCGTCCCCGTGGTCGTTTTCCTCGAGGTTTCCATTCGAAAGCAACCCGTAAATGGTCTTCTCGTCTTAGAATATGGCCTAGCCATTGGATTCTTTGACCTTTAATGAAGTTATTCACTGGAGCCAAGCTCATAATTTCCTGTAATTCCCTATTGAACCTTCTTCACCAACTTCCCACATTCGTGTCGAACGCAGGGTCGCAGATTTTCCGCGATACCTGTTTTCGAATGTTCTTAGTCTCTTACATAATTGACACATATAATCTCGTATTGGATCTTCTCGATAGCATTTTGGAATTAAGAAATGTCGTTAGTGCGTAAGAGATTTTCCCGCTTTGTTTATGCGAATATTTATCTGTTTAGACCAATCGTTTTCGATGCTCAATGTCGCTCCTAAGTATTCGAATTCCACCAATTATTCATATGTGAGCCCTTCTCTTTTCTGCGGGTATACATCACTATTTATTAGCTCCGTTTATTTTTGTCTCGTTCGGATTTATTGTCAAGTCGGCTTTTTAAAAATAATATTATAAACAGTATTTATTTGATGCACTAACCTCAGGTTATACGTACGTCGTGTTAACGTCGAATTTAGTGATCGGAGTATCGGTGTAGTTTTTTTTTTTTTTCTATGTAAACGACTGTCTCGGCAAATTATTTTCTTCCGCCGTGCGCATAAATTCTCCCCGAACGGCGAGTGCCATTGCGTTTTGCTCGAATAACATAATATCTCATAATATATCGTATATTATACGGTATACACGTACCTATATACATATTATTATTATTATTGACACGACAGCCGTAATACGAGCGCACGTTCAGAGAAAACGTCGGTTTTAGATTAACGTTACTATTATATTATTATTGCAGTATCCGCGTCCGCCGTCACAAACGAGAAGAAATCATTGTGTACAGCGTACACATATAATGCAAAATATAGTTTACAATATCATTGCTGTTTTATACGTCATATATAATACATACAATTTAACTAGTTGATTTATATTTATATAGATAAGAAAAAAATAAATATACACTTTGGTATGTATACGTAAAATTCGAAATCGACGGACCATAATATTAGGTACCTAGGTATATTATGAATTACCTACCTATTAGTACAGAATAACCCAATGAAACCGAGTTCTATAAAATATTCTCGAACACAAAATAATAAGTTTCAGTGAATGAAAAAAAATTAATAAAGAGGAAAACATATTGTATATTATACCAACCGCGCGTAGTATTTCCAAGCGGCCACTCATCCAAGTGAGCCTACTTACTATGACAAACATTATACTTGACTGTGGGTTCACTTTAGTAGACAATGTCAGTGTTGTCAACATCAATATAAATATAAGCACATTCGACTTGACTCCCTATCAGACGATGGTGAGCAAGTTAACCAATGGTTTTACTAGTTTGGAGTTGATTTGAAAATATAAATACATTTGAATAGGTAACTGAGTTACAACATTTTAGAAAAATAGTAACTTAAGTGAAAAGCTTCTTTTTTTAAAAAACTATCCTTAACTAACCTCCTAACTAAACATTTTAGTTGCATATTTTTGCGCATAATATTTTCAGTTATTTTAATGGTATATGAATACAACTAAAATTGTTGGAAACATAATTTTAGTGTAATAAATCCTAAACCCTAGCAATAGAAATTAGCAATGACTTATGAGTTTATAAGTGTGAGCAATAGTATTTATGAGTAGATAGAATTTGTAATTAAGAAATTGTCGAAAATAAAACTCTTACATGGTATAGTTTCTATATTATTATCTTCACTGTCTAAATTTTGTTTACGGTCCTGTTGAGGGCGATTTTCAATCGATTTAGATTTTCCTTTTTTTGTATATAGTTAGGTTTTCCTTTTATCCAAAGGCCTTCCATTCCTTGTACAACTTTTCGATTCATATAATAAACGAATGATTTATATTATCATACATAAATACAATAAATTCAGTAAAGAATCGAAACATTGACTTTGAAGGCGGGGGGGGGGAACCAAACCGTTTACAACAATGCAATAAATATTGATATAAATATTTTACAACAATACGAGAAAAATGCGTACTTTACTACGGTATTTAGAGAAGGGACAAATTACACTATAGCCTTCCTATAGATTTGCCACTGAATAAAGGAATATTATGGTAATATCAAGCTTACTTTTTATCCGCGTGAAACGTTTAAGGAGATTTCCACGTCATTTTTTTCTGAATCACGCAATATTTTATATTGTACGGGAACGCATAACATATTCTATCCGGTATACAATAATGATTATTATGGTAAGAAAAGCATACGCTCCTGATATATACGCGGAGACAACAAATAAAATCGTGCTTAACAATCCGCCATTTTTATTTTAACGTAAAATAGCTAGTTTTCTCACGAAACATCAAACAAACGTTAATAGTTAAAAAAAAAAAAACAAACAAAACGATTTCCTCGGTTCTTTAGATATTATACATACCCATCTAGTGTGCGACGAAATCTGGTAAATTAGACTCGTAACGACTATAACATCATGTTCCGTCATTAGGTCCACGACAAAAATTAGAAAACAAGATAATAACTACGACTGTGAATTTGAAAAATAAAATTGCATTTTTTATTTTCGGTGATTGTAAAATCTAGCTTTTTTAACACAAGGTCTAAATCATACACAGGTTGCCATTCTTATATTCTGTATTCTGGTTTTAATATATTTCACACAACCTGTATAGTGTATACGAGTAAGTATGTAAGTGCAACGTATGATTTGTCAAGATTCGATGAGATAGGGCTAACCGTGATCATTAGTTGAAATACATCAGTACCTAGTGAATTTCCAGAGTAATGTAATGCAAGGTTCCATTGCATTTCACATTCCTTTTTTAATTAATTTTCAATATTTTATAACGCAATAAGTTCATAAATTCACAGCAATGATAATATTGGTACACAAATATATTATGTCTAAAAAATTTGTATTTAGTTTTTAAAGTATCATAGTTGTATACGTAATTTACCGTGGACAACACACGTAAAAAAAATGGTATTTTTTATTTAACACGTGTTATATATTATAGTAATCGAAATCGTAATTATACATTCAAACACATTTTTGTTGGTCAGATTTAAAATGTATAATGCAACATGTTATACAAAAACAACACAACACACGGTACGTGCAACATGCACATTATTAAATTCGATTAAAATTATCTTCGGTCGATTCGGAGCATTTGTATTTGGCCTGACAATCTCCGTTCGCCCGTCCGTCCTCGATAGCTTCTTGCAATCTGATTAATGTTTTCTCGTATTTCTCGTCCACCGGTATCACGCTGAAAATCACGCGACGGCAATAGATAATGATTTGGTATTGTTTATATAGCACAAGCACTGAGTCATTTTTTTTTTTTTTCTAATGATAGTCACTTTTGGTAGTGTGAATTCGGGAATTCACGAATAAAAGGACGAATGTTAATATTAATTAGTAATATTATTCTCATAATTTATTTTTTAGAAGTATATATTTTTTTTTTTTTTTTTTACGATATATCTGGATGGAAAGAAAAATAAGATTACTGTTCGGTAGTGGCGTGGCCAAGACTGTTTTTTGAGGCTCGTTAAAAAATTGGTGAGTAGCGAGATGGATACCCGAAGGCGTAAGACTGAATACAGTCATAAAACAGTATACATTTTAAATAATAACTGAATCATTACTGATAATTAGAGTGCGGATTTGTATGCATTTGCATATTTATTCTGGTTGATCGTATTACGTCGTACATGCTAAGTGAGCACAAAATGTGTTATTTATCGTTTTAATTAAATGTTCAAAAAATACATTTGTTCGCTAATTTTGTAATGCATATTTTAAGATTTTAGTTTATATATGTATGCATATTTTAGATTTTTTAGCGCATATTTGGTTGGTTTTTAATGCATATAAATCCGCGCTTTACTGATAATGTAGTGGTTACAATTTAGAAAACTGTTGGGCCACACCCCAAAAACGTTTTTCTACCCGGATACGTCACGCGGAACAGGAACGCCGAGAACAGAGTAAAATAATGTGTAATGTACACTGTACAGGGTAAATGACATTTTTTAACAGAGTGAACAGAGTAAAACCATCTCACCCGTTCAACATTTTTGCCGTTTTCCACATCATTTCCGCAGTCTTAAGGTAGCTCTCGGCTCGGGCCGGTTGTTCGCACGCTACGCGGTTCAGACAGTCGTAGTGACCCGACTCGTCGGCCACTAGGTATCCGAGGAACAGCAACAAGTCCGTCTCGGTGATGGCACCGCCGTCCTGTGAAGGTCCTCCGGATTCCTTACGTCCCTTACCTCCGCCACCGCCCATCTGCATGTACGAAGCGCCCCATATGAGCCCCTTGATCACCAACATCAGCACCACGTTGGACAGGTTCAAACTGAGCATCTGGACAAATAACAGACCATATCGACCGGAAATGTAATTGAGTCGTCGTTTTATCACCCGATACACATTCGTCCAAATTTCATGTGACAGTATAATAAACAAATAAAAACAATTGTCTATGAGACAACTTTTTAGAACTGTATAATGTTTTAAATTAATTCGATATTCATTAGATTCGTATTGATCTCAGAAAAGAATTGAAAGGTAATTTTCTAAATTTTAAACGATAGGAATCTACTAGTTTGTGTACACAGTTAAATTTTCAAATCTCAAAATGTTCACGAACCGGTCACCGCGATACGACAACAATATCGAGACGTTTGATTGTTTGATTTTTAATTCGTATAAAATACAACCGACAGTGATAAGTCTTATGTAAATATTATTAGAAAAATATATAAATCTAAAAATTGCATGGGGTAATATTATATACTGTCACGTAAAATTCGGAAGACCGTGTATATGTATGATATGCATGTGGTTGGTATTTAAGTGCGGTCGTCGTCGTCAAGGAGATCGGTTGAAAATTTGAAAGTATATAAAAGTAAAAGAAGAACGGACGTGTAATACACAAGCAGTTCGCAGAATGTCCAGAAGTCAAGCGATAGAGATCCACAGGTGGGCACGGCAGTTATACCATAGGTCTCTCGTTGTGCTGTAGTCACAAGAAATAGTCGGTTATCGTAAAATATAATATTCGTGAATATCTAACACGACTAGACAGCCGACTGTTGTCATATAGATTCCCGTGAGAAGTATGATGTTGGCAACAATAGCAGCATTATTGCATCAAGAGGGTAAATATTGCAGTATTGATTGACCCGCGTAATATTTGTTTACGAATTATTATAATACGACGTGATGGTATATGGAAACGGTCTGCGATTACTTTCAAATATTTTTCATAATATATAATCGTAAACAAACTATTCGACGGGTTTAATTAATAAAATTTGCCCTCCCGGTTTACGGTTTCCAAACTTCAGATTTACTCACAGAGTCGGCTATCTAAAGTTGTTTTATCTCTGTGCGTAGTGTTACAATACAACAAATACTAACAGTAGTAGTATTTTGTCAGCGCGTCGATTTGTCGAAAACGTTCGACATTTGGTTATATTTTCGCATGTAACCCAGTGAACTCTTGCGGATTAAACGATTATCTTTTCAACAATTTCGCATTTTCGTTCGGTATCGATCATGTACATTCAAACACAACGAGGAATTTCGAGAACGATCAACATGCGATGGTGATTATGCAGCAATCTTTGAACGTACGTCAATTGTTTCCTACTGATTTCTTCCAATTGTACACGTGAAATATTCGATTTGTACCTGTCGTATTTAATCGATTATCTGCGTTTTACACTACACCAATTGCGTTATTACAGATATTTCAAATATTACGCGCGAAATGAGGATTTTAGATTTCATTATATGGACAACGTTTTATCATCACGGTCATTAATTGCCGCGAAATAATAATAAATTTAAATCTTCTTGACGTTCCGCGTTCGCCCGCGAAATTACTTTTATCTACACAAGTATGGATATATTGTGAGGAACGATTACGAATTATTACCCGCACCAACCGGTTAACAACAACATTGTTCGACCGTCATAGGCTATGTAAAATGGTAACGCTAAGCATTTATAGGTTAACGAAATGAAAAAAAAACCTCCGAGTAAATTAGATGAAAAACGCGTTAAATATACATATTAATAATATTTAAATATATAGTATATTTTAATTATATATGTTTGAATACAAGTAGAGTCGTATTCATTTTGTCGGATTGTAGTATTGTCTAATACAATGGTTCCCAAGCTTTTTGTTATGGCGACCCGCACATTAACTCTTTTTTGGGTACGCGACCCAAATTAAAAAAAAGCTGCCCTATGATAATGGGGGGGGCGCGGCCACTGTTATAGGTGGGAATTTAATGTACGTCTGTAAGCAACGATAAACTATTGGTCAAAGCATTTAACATAAACGCAATCAGGGACTAACGGGCTTAGCGCCCATTCCGAAATCACGGCTATTGTTTTGCTTTCCTAAATTTTTGATTCTGGTTGTACTTTCGGATAATGAATATAGAGTATCGTTGTCTTGGCTCTAAACATTTAAAATTAGTAATAGCCGGTTTTTTTTTTTTAAATAACTAAACTAAACAACTATTTAATATTGATAAATAAATTGCATAGCTGTTTAACAGGCGAATTCAAGTAGTAACAGTTGTGTTGACTTTAAATACGAATTAAGTAGTGTTGTCGTGGGAGGAGGGTGTGTTTTAAGATTTGCTCCCCTCTACAGAACTACAGATCACTCTAATGAAGCTGGAGGAATGCAATTTTGAATATGTACGAGTATTAATTTTTTTTTTCAGGGCGTTGGGGGGGGAGGTAGTTAACTCTCGACTCATGCTCTCGTCATTTTTATGCTCAAGTTTCATGGTTTTCTATAGGAAACGCCTGGTTTTAAATAGCCTTGCAGATTACACAAATCAAATAACGTAACAAGAATCAAATTCAACTTTAGTAGCCTAGTGACGAAGTTTTTCTGCTCACGGATGGTTTTTTTTTTTTTTTGATAACGGGAGTGTCGCTTTCCCTTCCACTCCTCGGTCTGCCTTTAAATATATTTAATTAATAGCGACACAAATAATAATATACTATTCAATGTTTAAAAATACCAATAGGTACTTAATAATTTACGAAAAGTATGCAACTGTTATAGAGTTTCAATTTGAGAAAAATACGTATCTAAATAAATAGCTATTTATTAAGTAAATATCTATTATACACTTATAAAATGTAACGTTGTTTTTATGTATATACAAAACGATTTTGGCTTTTTTAATAATTGTTTATCTACGTAAAGCGAATACTAGTATCTAAACTACACAAGACCGCAGCTGGACCGAATCCTCGGGATATCAATTAAATCATCTAAAAATATATTTATGTAACAAACGCAATTGACACTTATATTTAAAACAATACTTTTGAAAAAATGTCTGGAAGGTTCAATGTGGAACCCCTGATAAGCCCTCCCCCCTTCAGATACCTCCTTGGCTACACATAATACAGACTTTTACCTAGGTCTTACTAGGCTGCTTAAGATCAATTATAATCGTGGCAAATGGAGCGGAAAACAAAATAAAGAAATTACCTATACATATATCAATAATAAATTGGAAATATAATAAACGTTAGTATTAATTATCGAAAACGTGGCCTAGGACATTTCGGCGCGAAATATCATTTTCACAATTTCAAAATTATACTGGTTTATACGTGATTTGCGTTATTTTTACCTAGTCAAATAATAATAGAAACAATACCATACGACCAAGGTACAAACACAAAGAAATACATTATAATAATTTGAAATAATACATATTATACCTACGTAACTATTTTCGCATTTGAAAACAAAAAAAAAAAAATGCATTATTATAATTAATATTTTTTGTTTACTATTTTGAACACCGATTTATTATCGTCGTGATTGTTGTACACGTTCAGTAGCCGTTGATGTTGAAAATGTGCAAAATGTTCAAAATTAGATTAATTTATTTTATTATTGTTATTTTCACGGGAAATCAGGGAAACGGTAATTGAAAATATAAAATTAAGGCGGTTTTCGGGGTTCGGGAAAAATAAATAAATTATTAAGATACTAATCGTACTTGTTTTTGGTTTTTAATAAAATATTACCCGCGAGTTTAACTTTATATTATAGTCGAGTATTACTTATAGGTTTCACTTTTATAAAAACTGCGATTTTACGAGTAACGTCGTAAGAGATAACTGCACCTGTGAAAACGGAAAAACAGAACGGTACACAAAATATGCATAAATAAAATAATACACACACACACACACACACACACACACACACACATATATATACATATATGCGAAAAAAAAATCAAACATTCGCTTTCCACACACACACGTTTGATCCGTTTACGGATGCCTTATCCGCATAGGTTAATGTATGTATAGGATATTGTATCATTTTCGTATCTATTCCGTGACTCTCACTTTTAACATACTCACTGTAGATTCGGTTATTTATTTATCATTTATATCGCCGTATTTATTACGAATCAATACTAAAATAAATATTATGGAAGTGGAAAAAAAAAAACTTCTTATCACATTCAATACGAACGACGGACCGCGAATTGTCCGAGTTTAAACAAAAGTAGATACAGTAGTTATAATTTCACCTTTTAAATATCTATAAATAGTTGTTTTTTCTCGCATTGAGATCGCTGAACTCTTTGAAAAGCAATAATATTTTCAAATCGAAAAAAAACGAATTTCAAACTGTGTTGGGTTTTTCTTTTTTTTTTTAAAAATAGCTGTACAGCTTTTATGTTTGCCGATAATTTTAGTAAAAATAAACAATGCGCCGTGTCCTCGGTAATACTTTTCTCTTTAAACGTCGATACCAAACTCCAATTTAATTTTAGGTAATTTTGCTACGTTAGTTACAGAACTGGGACGGTAGGAACTGCGGATATCACGTCCTCTCGAGTGGCCGTCACACAGTGACATTTGTCGTCTTCGTCTTTCTAACATAGCCCTAAGGCCTAAATACGTTCTCTTAAATGATATTATAGTGTTTACGCGTGCGATTGCCGACTACAGTTAAACAGTAAAAGTTATAAAAGCGTCAAGCGGAAAAAATTGTTCCATTACAGTTATAGTTACGTTATAGTTTTCAAGAAAAATAAATCTAAAAAAATATCATCCGGTGTATTACGGGTAATTTTTTTTTTGCGTTAACATATTATTATTATGCACACATAATCGCAATTGCACCGTGCCGAATCGTGTACATTTCAATATTTGCATACGTAAGTAAATCGCGCGTGTCATTGTGGCGAATCCGATATAATAATCGCTCTCTTCGCTCTGCGCCACCTCAAAGCGGATCAAGACTTCATCTCGGCTGTACTTGATCCGCGCACGTATCCGATAATACATTTGAATAGATTCGCTTCAAAGTTCACATCTACAGCGCCCGCACTAACAGAAATCCGCTCGCCTTCGCGACTCGTTCTTCCTCCTATATATTATGGTTACCAACCACTCTGTACATGTAGCGTGCTTCGCGCCAAATAATCGCCAATTTCCGAATTAAATATTTCCCACTTAAGTTTCTCCCACTGCGCCACGTTATTTCGCCCCTAGTCATTTACCGTCCCGCCAATATTGTATTTATTGTATCAAATGTGTGGTTTAGTCATTGATTCGTGTACATGTTGTCGATTTAGAATGCCCGCGGGCGCGTATTCCGTAAATAAATAAACCGTGTTAATAATCGTCTCGAGTATAGAGCTAATTAGATTATTGTAAAATACAATGTTGAGTTATAGAGGAAAAATTGTAAATCGAGACAGTTTTAGTTAGGTATAGAGATAGGTATACGTATAAAAGAACAAGATGCGAGTAAAATGTAATCACAGCATTGATAAATAACGTTGTTGTAGTTAAACGTTCTGATAGTACGAGAACAACATGATGATGGTTAAAGACTGAAGGCTGAAGTGTATTTTATAATATCATGTATAGTAAGAAGGCTTGCGAAATGATGCGATTTCAGCCTGCAGTAATATAAATGAATAGATTCTCGGGGGAAAAAAGACAATGTCGAAGGACGTAAAAACAGGGGTATAAAGTTTGTCGTTAAAATATTATTATTGTAATAAAAAAAAAAAAATTATAAATGAAAATACTAGCCAAAATGTCGGGTAGATCGCATAGTCCGAGGGCCATCTTGAAAAACTGACAGGGACTGGACAAGGTGGTCAGAGAAGACATTTTGCAGAAACCCTGGGCCGCGGACCTCTTATTTACACCCGGATTTATACAGTGCCCGCGATGGTTCTATATAAATATACAATCGAATAAAATACGTTGAATACGAGTTACTTCTTCACGGCGAAAAACATTAATAAAAAAAAAAAAAAAATCGTATTCCCGTCGTGTTATAAAAAAAATATTTCATAATATTGTTTTCCGTGTATACGAGACAATAAAATTTTGTTTATAAACTACTATTATATTCTGTACTTGACTACTGGTCTTGCCGCCGATCATCGACTTGGCGAAACCCGCGAATATCGATTCCATGTCCAATACCCTCGGCTCGGCCAGCTCATTTCCGCGGCCGGCCGCCGCCGTCGCCGCGCGGTGATTTTCGTCGATCGCGTGCCCCGAAACGGACCGGGTCGCCAGCAACAGTAGGCAAACGTTCGCGATGGTCGCCTGCATGTTCCGCCGATTAGCGCCGCGTAAATCAAACTTTTAACAACGCAAAAAAATAAACTCGACAATATCGTTCGTCGCGTTGCACTTTTACCGTGTACCCGCCGGGAACTTTGCGGCGATCCGTTTTTATCGCGACGACGGTACGGACCGGGCGTGTTTGTTGTCGCGATCGTCTCCGGCACGGCAGTGACAAAACCGACGGGCCGGAGCGCCGATTTTGTAACGTCCGCGGCCGCGAAAGTAAAAGCGTCGCGGCATTGTTCGTGGCCGGACGGCATGTCGCAATTAAAATTTCCAAAATTATTACGCGTGTACAATTACATTTTATCGAGCGTGCGCGTAACGTCGCGCACGCGAAAACCGGCGCGTTTTCGCGGCGCGGCTAGTGTCGCCTACAATGGGCCGGTAACGCGCGGCGGAAACGTCCGCGTAACGCGCCGGCCGAGACCGCGCGCAAAAACAATAGGTGGAAATCTCGCGCGATTCACGCGGGCGAAATTATTGCGCGGTCCGCGGGTTTCCGCGTGTCGGACAACGGCGCGCGGCCGAACGAACGCGCGTGCGTGTAACGGCGAACGGGCACTCTCGCGCGGCGGCGGCGGCGGCGGCGGCGCGTGCACGGAGCGGATTCGCGCGAAACGAACGGTCCGGATTGTGCGACTCGGTCGGCGGTTGCGACCGGGGGGCGGACGCGGAAGACGCGACGTTCGTTCCGCGGCCGGAGTCGACCGTAACGCGCGAACGGCGAGGTCCCGGGCGGCAAACCGGATGAAGTTCGGCAACGCGCAGGCGACGCGTGTGCCTAACGTCAACGCACGAAATGTTGTTCTACGGACCCGTGTATCGGCCGAGCAAGAGCGCACGCGTGTCGATAATCGCCGATGTCTCGAATAAAAGACGAATAACGGTTAACGGTGCCGTCGATCGAGAGTTTTGCGCGTCATTTGTTCAACTGGGATTTTTATACGGGGGTGGGGGGCCCGGGTTAAACGTATACGGTTCACTTTCTATACGATAATGATAATAAAGCGAATTTTATACATCTATATGTTTGTCGTAAAAAGCTTCTTCTGCTTTTTTTTTTTCATGTTATTTTTGCAATTGTTCAGTACATTTATTTGTACTCAGTGGTATTCAATTGAAAAAAAAACATCACGCAAAGGCTAAACGCATAACACAGATTAATTGATCGGGTTTTTTTTTTTTTTATAAATATTGTAGGCACTGAACGTGCATTTCTGAAACACGCGTACATACACGAGATCGTAAACAAATCTTTGTAACAAGTAAAAAATAGTAAAGTTATTAGATCTGGCTACTTTTTATGTGCAGGTCACGCAAAAATGCCAATATCGCTTCGGGGTACAGTAAAATAATTGTTCGCCCGCTCAATGATCGATATACCCGAAGCACGTATATACTTCCGATATACTTACGGAAGTTTGCTATGCGAGAATAAAAATAAAAAATAAAAATGTTGTAAAATATATAAATAACGGGAGGTGAGAACTTGAGAAAGTAGGATACAGAGGGAAATTCAACTTACATCTGCGCGCAAAATGAATCATTGCTAATGAAAAACGATTCCGAGCGGAGTTCGGTCGATAATATTGCTTTTTCAACGATGCGCGTTTTCACGGCAACAACGCCGTATAAAAAAATATTAAAAGATTAAACGTATAAAAATAAAAAATAAATTAAAAATGTTTGCCAATGACAATGTTATTTTCAATACTTTAATCTTTTGTAATCTAAAGAACCAGTTTTCCCTCTTTATGTCGAATATTAATGAGAATTTCAAAAATTATCTTCCCGAAGTATCAATTTGGCCAAAATGCAACAATAAAGGTCAGTTGTCATGTTTTGATCGGGGTAAGATTTCCAAGAGAAAATATATTATTATAAAAAAAAAAAAAATAATAAATATCATTGCAAACCAATACATTCCTCGCTTCGTTCAGAATCTAAAAACAATGTTAGAACAAATATAGCTGTATGAGTTGTCGTAGGGATACGTGCGTCGCACAGCGAATAGTACAGTTGCCATACAAATCGGTTACTCAGTTTCAGTTCCGTATACAGGGGGGAGGGATTTAAGGGTTCGCCATCCTCTTCGGAAAATTTAAAATAGGTTTATATTTATAATATAACAAAGACTAACTTCAAGTCCGCGTATTAAAAAATATCTAACCCCCCGGAAAATCGATCCTGAATACGTGCTTGCTTAGTTCACTGTATTTGTTTTGGCACGGACGCACATATGCCTACATCGATTTGTTGTTGTTATGAAAACACGTGACAGCATAACTGAACGTCACGTTTTAAATTTGGCGTGTAGCGAGGGATCTATTGGTTTTACTGTGTGTATTTTTTATTTATTTTTTTTCCAGATTCGATTCAGTGCGTAGCGCGGGGTTTTCGATATTTTCGTGTTTTCATATTGTATTTTTGTTTGGTTGTTAACCGCATAATAATAACAAATAACCTTGCCCGTTTTATTCGTTTGAATAAATTACTATTATAATTACTTTAACGTTGTGTTTCATACACACGCTGTTCGTAGGAAATCTGTGTGTTGTTCTGCCCGTTAATAATGAAATATAAATACGAACAAAATATTATCGCCATGAACAAGTTGATTCGGGTGTTTTTGACGGTGTTAATTTCGAACTCGGGGGTGCTTTAGCAATTGCAGTAATAGTCGCGCGTACTTTTGTGATCTGATTCGATGCATCGTGTAACACGGAAAAAGTACGGCAAATGCAGTATGTTAATTGGAAAAATAATCTACTAAAGCGTGTTCATCTTTTTAAAGCGTACGTTTGTACGTTTATTTACCCGCCTCCGTTCACAGTAACCGAATACGCAAAACGCGTAACGTCGAATTTCGTTACTCAATCAATCAAGTAATGATTTACGTACATTCATCGGCTGCAACTCGTACAATACGGTACAGAAAATACCAGTATATATTATTTGCGAAAATCGGTCGTTAATAAACTATAACTGTCCGTATCTTTCATCTTGAATTTTCGAAAATTTTTAAGAACCAAAAAAAAAATTGTATCGGCATCTTGAATATTTTAACGTAGATTTGTCATAAAATTGTAAAATAATCTCCCCGTCAACCCTGCAATCCCTGTTTAGCTGTTCACTTAAGATTATTTGTTTCCTTTTTTCCAGTACCATGACCGAGAAGCGAAACTGCTCATGCCAATTACCCGGTTTTAGCTCGTGACCCAGTATTCTGGTATACAATAACAATAGTACGTCCCGCCCTTAGGGCTTGGCGCATACCCGACGGTTTTCCCTAAAAACTAGTTTTAACGAGTGTAGACGCGCGATCTGTGAGCAAACGCAATTGTCGTGTCGTTCAATGGTTCCGCTACACCGCTAGATTCCGCGTCGGTATTCGCTTTTATTTTACTCCAGTTTTTGTAATTTAGCACTGAACAAAACATTTGAACGACATTCAAAACCGACGGTGTATTTGTTTTTTATTTTCCGGTAACGGTGTAAAATGTCACCATTCTATTTCAACGTATTTCAAAGCCGAATTGGCGAATATATTGATAATCATTATTGTGTACTCCGCGGACAGCGTACGAATTGTGCATTGGTAAAGTCACCGGCGTCAAGTCATGTCGACCGACGAACGATTCGCGATCGATCGTCACTACATATTTATAAATCACACGAAGATTCACGAATAAGACTTTCGATTATTCGGTGTGGCCAAATTATTTATCTAGATATACCGCCGAGTGGTCCGATCGATTTCAAACCAACGACAACGTTTTTTAAAATTAATTTCCAATATAATTGCAAATTGGCACTTACAATTTACACGCGAAACGTCACACGCAAACTCGAGCAACGAGCTATAGGGAATTTTTTTTTTTTTCCTATTTGTAAGTCGACATGAACGCCGAAAGAAGTCCGATCCGTTTCGGAATGCCGGCAGCGGTTTGTAGTCGATCGTATTAATGATCGGTGTAGCTGAAACGCATAGGAATTAACGGTTCTTTAAAAATTTTTTTTTTTTTCGTTTTTTTCCATCAATCGTAGTACGATTATTATACGTAACGCATAAGGCCGTTACAGGACGTATATTTTAAAGGTTAGGTTTTACTGCAACAACATAATTGATCGACGGTTCCCAAAGTTTGTACTGTAACAACGAAATTATCGATTAGACATTTTGCGAGGAAAATACCAATCCGCTTTTAAAACTCCGCTATTTCATTACGTGTTGGGTTTTTTTTGAACGTCCGACATTCGTTTGTTCCAATTCTAATTCGAGTAGCTACCTTTTTAGCCTTTTTTTTTTTTTTTTTTCTCTCTATTCAAGTCAACGTTATATTGATTATTTATATAATGTATGTTTACACGCACCGCACGTGAGTTTACCGGAATGTTGGCGTAATATTTTATACATTTGCGTGTTAAATTGTAGTCATTATTTTATCATCATAATATAATACAATACAAATTCAAGTATATTTTTTTAATTGATAAAAAAACATAAACTACAAGTATTCCGTAATTCATTTATATTCCACGTGTACCTACCAAAGAAACTATTAGTTTTGTGATGTGTTTTTTTTTTTTTTTTTTTTTTTTGGAAAACATTTTTGCGGTCAGTAAACCTAATCTAACAGTTTTTCCAAACAAAATTTAAAAAAACCGACAACAAACGACAATACGCCTGTTTCGTGTCTGTCGATCCCTCGGTCGCTGTAGCTATAGAACACGACTGATAACTGGGAACGAAATATCGGAAAGCAGATCGCTGACGACGGCGTAGCCAGCGGGCAGGCCTGGTATACCCGCTTTGCTCAAAAAATCAACATAGTTTTAAAATCAGATATTTTTTTTTATTTCAGTAGCCGTAGCCGGAAAAATTTTTCTAGCTACGCCCCCGACCGCGGACCGCGAAAAATATTGTAAAACGTGATACGTTTTAGCGGGTCTCCGTACATTTGCTCTCAGCGGTAGATTTT